TCACACCTCAACCCGCCTCAAAGCCAACGCTGATTGGACGTTCGTTTGGTGAACGGCTCCAAATTTTCTTTAACGGAGAGTCTCCAGACTGTTCTGCGAGTGAAACCTTGAAATCTCGTGAGATCAGGATGGTCTCACGAAATACCCGATACCTGGTTGTGCAGTATTGGCCGATACCAAACTGATACTGTTTGAAATTGAGTTGTGTGTGTATATATATGAAGAACTGCATACTACTTGGATGTAAAATAATTGCCACCATGGCTTTGTCAAGCTGCTGCCTATCTTTGCGAAGCAGGAAAAAAAAATATACAAAGTGAATCCAGTAGAACTTTTTATCGATACCTGGAATCGGCGACAATAGTTGAATAAACTTTTGGCTCTCAAAAGGGTATCGATGCCCCTTTTGTTGGTACTCACCGATTAAAATATCACCATTTTAGTGCTGGATTGGGGCCTCACCCAATACTGGTATTGGTGCAACATTAATTAATATGTCCCTATAAATACATCTAGAAGCTCAAGAAACAAATCAGATACATCATGGATAAAGGTTGTGGGGAGGTTTGGGGTTAAATTATGAAACAATATTGCAACCTCTAATCATCTTATGGAGGACTTTTAAAAAAATTAAAAAGAATGACAAAGCTGCTGACCTACTTGGATGTCCTCTCAGATTTAGAGTTCAGGGAATGAGAGGAGTCATCGGAGAAGCAGCAACAAACTCATGATAACTCAGGAGATCCTGAAGGTGTTACCAGGTTTGGAGAAACATTCTATTCACATGAGAACAATAAGTCATAAACTCTGCGTATTACTACCTAAAGAAATGACTGGGTGGAAGAAACAATAATTTAAAAAGTTTGTTCATAGTAGTTTTTAAAAGAAGCTTTCAATTAACCTTAAAGTGAAAATATTGCTTTGTGTAGAAAATGTCTTTTTAGTCATAATAAACCAAAGGATAACTTTTTTTGCCTGTATTTAAAATGAAGTGTTGGACAGTGACATAGCACATCATTATGAACAGACATGGTTTAACATGGTAGTGACAGCATCATGCTGTGGGTTTTTTCCTAAATTCCCTGTCACAAACATGTCCTGTAATGTGTCATTATTGAATTACAATGAAATCACATAAAGTTTGAAGTTATATATATAAGAAAAAGGGAAAAGTTTCAGAGGGTGTATATACATGTTTGCAAGGCTCTGTAAATAATTAGTCGTGTGTGATTGCCCATATTAAGACTTTGGTTCTTCTTCGTCACCTTTCTTCTTTCCTTTTTTTTCCATTTCAAATAAATGTGAACCAGGAGTTTAAATGTAATATGATTTTTAAATTTACAACAAGTTCTTTAAGCAGACATTTCTTGTTTCATGGTTCAGTAATTTTAAAGGATTTGAATCCATGTCTGGCCCTTTTTAAATACACGTTTATCATCTGTAGTGATACTGCTACTGTTATAATGCTCATTATGTTGCACTGAAACACGCATTCCATTATTTATTATTTGGCATACCACTACATAATGCATTCATATTGCACATGATTGCAGCTTGGTTTCCCCTCTAACCCATAAATGAAACCCAGCATTGAGTAACATTATATTGCTGGTTATTAAAATTGAGTTCATAAACAATGTTTATCATAGAGGAGAAGAAAGACTATGATTTAGCAGTTCATAAAGCAACATGAAGATTTACTTTAACCAGTATTTTGCTTACATATTTGGGTCATGCATACATTAACCTGTATTTCATCCATGCACACGGCAGTGAGTACTTTATTATTAAAATACTCTTCCCGTGTGGATGTTGCTGTCTGGCTTGCAGCTAATCGTGTTGTGGCCCATTTTATTTCCTTCCCAAAATAGGCAATGCTCCTACTTGACGGTAAACAATGCAGACACATGTAAACAATTATCTGAGATCTGAAGGTTTCACACTAGAAGACCTTGTGGATAAAAGATGAGGTAAAGACTGTGGCACATAGCCAACATATCAACTACTCTTGAATAGCAGAAGGAAGTTAGCATTAACTGAGCTTTTTATCTTAACTGAGCAAATGTTGATTGTTTGGAGCAATGTTTTTGTGATGCAGAAAGATGAGTGGATAATTCAGAGAGGTTATTCACTTTAATGCAATGCACACCACGAGCCTCAAAGAACAAGAACAAAACATTTAGACCAAAGCTAAAAAGTTATTCCAAAGATCTGCTGCAGCGTAGTGTGTCATGATCTTAATGCAAAAACAAGCATTTGAGCAGAGTTTGACGAGAGGGATCCAAAGTCAACGCCCACTCAAGTAATTTTAATAAACCCGGTAAACATATCTAATAATATGATTTATCAGAAAGTACTTCTTTTTTTTCATTGGTTCTGATTGATCAACATTACTGATCTCACAGTGGAGAAATGTACTCATTACATCAGCTCAAATAGTTAAAGGAGAAGAAGAAGGTGCCAAAGGAAGAAAAATGTGCATGGGATATATACATATTTGAGATATATACATCTTTTATTTTTTTTATTTTATTTTAAATAGCAGGATTATTATACAGGGTTATTGCACAGGGTGTTTACATGTGTATTTTTATAGATGGATATTTATATATATAGATATAATACTGGGTGTCAAATATAGAGAAACGGGTTATTACGGTACACAGGGTATTAAATAGTAATTGCACATTATACATTGCACAAGTTATTGTCGTTGTAGTTAGTGTTGGACCGATACCAGTATCGGCCGAGGCCCCAATCTAGCACTAAAAAGGTGGTATCGGTTTCGGCAAGTACCAACAAATAGGGTACTGATACCATTTTGAGAGACAAAAATATATTTAACTATTGTCACCTATTCCAGATAGGCAATAAAAAGTTCTACTGGATTCACTTTGTATTAGTTTTTTTCCTGCTTCACAAAGGTAGGCAGCAGCTTGACAAAGCCATGATGGCAATTATTTTACATCCATGTAGTATGCAGTTCTTCATATACACACACATCAATTTCAAACAGATGGTATCGGCCGATACTGCAAAGCCAGGTACTGGGTATTTGGGCCAAAAAAATGGCATCAGCGCAACAATAGTTGTAGGATCACATTGTAGGTTCTGGATAAATGACCTGTGGTAGCGCTCCTTTTTACAAAACAGTGTGTAAATGTCTTTCACTAAAGGAGCTGCTCAGGTCCTCTACAGTCTTGTGCAGAGAGTGGAATGTGTTCTCCATGATGGATGTAAGCTTGGACAGCACCCACCTATCAGCCACGTCCTCCACTGGGTCCAGAGTGCAGCCTAGGACAGAAGCGGCCTTTCTCACCAGTTTGTTCAGTCGGTTTCTGTCCCGCTCTCCGCTGCCAGGGGCCTAGCAGACAACAGCGTAGAGGAGGGCTGATGCCATCACAGAGTCATAGAAGTTTTTAAGCTGGGGCCTGCTCACTCCAAAGGACTCCAAAGCTTTGATATGAGATGTTAGGTGTTTTTTTTGTTTGTTTGTTTTTCCAAAAGTTGTTTGTGTAGGTTGAATGACTCTAGGAAAGACTGCATTTAGTTCAGGAATTATTATTATATCATAAAGTTGTGGAATCTTTGGGGTTTTAGAAGGCACTGTGGATTAAACTTTCTTTTTTTATTTCATTCAGTCTTTTTCTATGGATTTTTAAATCACATTTCTAAATATTTGAATGCTCCAACTAACTGTAAAGCTGCTGCCGTACCACATAAAATATATATTTCTTTTGTTAAAAATATTTACATACGGTAGAAACTATTTCTATTCAAGGCTAAGTCAACGAATACATTTGAGAAAAAGTTAGACTGTACACCTGCAACAATAATCTGTTACTGAACATTTAAAAGTAGGTAAATGAGGGCCGTGATTACATTATATACACATTTTGTATATATTATATTAGATATGGTAATTACATAGCTCTATGAGTTTTGGATGATAATGGATCTACGTTTTTTAAGGGGGAACAAATATTTGATGTATGTCTGGAAATACTCAAGAAGAAACAAAGTTTTTAAGAACTATCGAACCAGTGTTTAGTTCCTGTTTCTCTTCACTCCGATGTTTAGGTTAATAAGTAAAACTGCTGACATTACCCTTTTGTCTCTCTATTTCCTCAGTTTCCCTTTATAATTAACCACACACTGTTAAGACAATATTGTCATCTGATGTTAGATTTGCTGAGTGGAGGATAAGAAAACGTAACCAGTTACTGCATTTTGTCTCCGGCTTTGACTTTGGTTTCAGTTTTAAAAGCTGCCCCAGACTGTTTGCATTTTGAAACCCTGATTAACCCCCCTGTAGACCAATGACTCTCAAGCAACCCATTTCTTCTTTATAATCTGTTGGTCTGTGATGGTGCAGGTTGTAGAAACGGGTATATTTGCATGCAAACATTTGACTCAACAGTCTCCTGTTGTTATTGTAATTTGCTTATCAACCATCTGCTCAGAACTGGCTGCATACACCAACAAAAAATGCATATCTATCCAGTTCTAAACCTGTAATGGCACCCTGTCCTCCCATTACACTAATGAACAGTATTTGGTGATGAAAATGACATGGTTCCTAAACTAATATAGTCCCAATTGTGCTCCTTTATTAGAATTAACAAACTTTTAGAACAGATTCTTTATCGTTTTCTGTAGCTTAAATGAAAATGCTTTATTTGTGACTGAGGAGATAGGTTTTCCTTTTTTTAAATTAAGTACATATGCTGTCTATGTGCTAATTTTTTTTCTTTGTTTTTATGTGTTTCCTGCAGATCTATCTCTTCCAACTGTCTCTGCATTGGTGACATGCTGTGAGAAGAGACTCTGGTCTTCTTGTGTCCTCGTCATACTTATGAGTCGATAGTGATGCCACCTGCCCAGAGTGAGTTATGACGACGGTTCTCTCTTTGACTCAGGAAAGGAGACCCCCCCTCCAGCTAAATGACATGATGAAGACACTTCCTGAAAGTTTGCTCTTCAAAGAATCTGCAAGCAGGATATGAGTATTTTGAGTCCCGGGACAGATAACAAATCAGCCCTTGTGGGAATTGTGGGAGGTCCTGTAGAATACTCCAAAGCCATGCAGTCAGAGGAGTTATTCAGCAGGAAACTCAAAGCCTTAAATGGGAGCATGGGACCACCAGCCTCCAGTGTACAGGTGAAACCTGATGGTGCGGGAAAAACAAACGGTACTCCTGCCATGCCTAAAATGGGTGTCAGAGCAAGGGTGACAGAATGGCCTCCTCGGAAAGATTGCTGGGATGTACGGCCTTCGCCTAACTACCAGAGTGTTATTCCTGTTTTCCAGAATGGCCAGGAAGATCATACTGTGGATTTACTAGAGCAAGGCGAGGCGGTGTGCATGGAAGTGGACTACACTGACAGATACACACTCAATGACATTCTCAGCCACTCTCCATTAAAGGGTCTCCACCCTATTCGTCAGCGGAGCAACAGTGATGTCACAATTAGTGACATTGACTCTGAGGATATAATGGACCAGCATGCTGTAAATCCAAACACAGGAGCCTCTCTGCACCGTGAATACGGAAGCACATCCTCCATTGACCGTCAGGGCCTTGGTGGGGATGGCTTCTTTACCATGCTCAGGGGCTACAGAGTTGACAACCTGGACCATCGGAGCATACCTCCTTTGGGATTCCCAGAGTTGTTACGCTGTGATGCTTCCTTGTCCCCAAGCTTACAGACAGCCGCACAGATTGCCAGGGGAGAGATAGTCCACATTCCAGGCTATGATTACATAGATAGTTCTTTCCTCTACAGTCGGGAAAGGGAAAAGTCCTTCATGAGGCGTCTTAAATCAGAATCAACAGAAACATCTCTGTTTAGGAGATTGAGAACCATTAAAAGTGAAAGTGATGCCTTGAGACTCTCTATAGAGGAGGACCGGCGACCCCTGAGTTTTCAAAAATGCTTTGCACATTATGATGTCCAGAGTGTTCTTTTCAACATCAGTGAAGCCGTTGCAAGCCGAGCAAACCTGAGCCAGAGGAAAAACACCACCACTGGAGCTTCAGCCGCCTCAGTTGGAGTTGGGGCTGCGGCCGGTGGACTATTAGGAGGTGGGACTGTTGCTGGGGATGGTGGAGCAGCAGGTTGTAGTAGTGGGAATCAACCCATGTTCGAGTCTCCACTTGGAAGCAGAGAGGATCTAAACCCTAAGGAGAACCTGGATGTCGATGAGGGAGACGGAAAGAGCAATAACCTGGTGCTGAGCTGTCCGCACTTTCGCAATGAGATCGGCGGAGAGGGCGAGAGGAAGATTTCCCTCTCCAGAGCCAATAGTGCCAACTACAGTGGCATGTCGGAGAGTTGCTCATTTGAGTCATCTCTTAGCTCCCACTGTACCAATGCAGGTGTCTCTGTACTGGAGGTGCCACGAGAAAACCAGCCAATCCACAGGGAGAAGGTCAAACGCTACATTATTGAGCACATTGATCTTGGAGCATACTACTACCACAAGTTCTTCTATGGAAGAGGTAAGAGTTACTACTGATTCATGAATTTTAACATGGTTGATTTAAACAGACTTTGAGTGATTGTAATGATGACTGGTTGAGGACTTTGAGCAAATGCACTTCCCTAAATCAATCATACAAGTGTGACGAAAACTGCCCGTGCTTGTAGGGTGGGATATCTTCCTGGATGACCAGATGAAATAACATCCAGAACAATAGCTGTCTTGTGTTGGGTGCAAAAAAAGCATTTTTAACATTCAATCCAAATCTTCCCTGAGATTTCAGCCCACTCTGTTCAAAGAAATTATGGCTAGTTATGTGAGAAGACTGAGGTGAACGTTGGGGTGTGTTGCAGCTGTTTCCCATAGGGACTACTGGGATGTGAGGACTTCTAATATGAAGCATAGGGGTCAGTAGAAGTATGCTTAGGTCCTGGTTCTTCTCATTAAAACACCTACATGACTGACACTGAAAACACCATGTGACTCAGACCCATCACTGCTTTATACATCTGTTTTTCTCACCGCTTGTACTTGCTGCTAGTAGCAGATTGTATTACCACTTTTCAAGCCCATCATAAAACAGCTGCTTCACTTTTTACACTCTTATTACTGGGCTTCTTCATAAAGATGCTGGAGTTTGGATGTACCTTTGATCTCAAGTATCTACAAGACAATGTTATTTCCCTTATTACATGTTCACTAACAGGTGGAGCGTAAGACTAACCAAGATTTTTATTGTGGCTTGCAAAATATTCATAGCATTGAAGCTTTTCACACTTTGTCATATTACAGCCACAGGCTTCATTGAATTTTATTGGCATTTATGTGTTAGACCAACACTCTACCTCTGGCCCTTCTGTAAGAGTTGTAAGTAGAAAGCCTTTTTTTGGGAGAAGGTTTTTTGAAGTCTCACTTACAGTCCAGTTTAAAATAGGGCGGCAACTAACAACTGTTTTGCAAATTGATTAATCTGTCGATTTTTTTTTTTGATTAA